TAATCATTTTTTGCTCCCTCTGTTTGTGTGCATGATCAACAAACTAACATACATTATTACAAGACTTGACTCAATAAATGAAAATTACAGACACATTTAATACAACCAATTCTATGTAATCTTGAGCCTTGAATCTTCAAAGAATGGTGCATGATGTACCTGAAATATTAGTCAACATAGAAAGACATATGCACTGCAAATATTAGGAGAAATAAGAGATTAATAAATATTATTTGTTATCATCAAAATCATAAACTCGGAAGCCCGAGTTGCAACAAAAATAAATCCAAACTTTCATCGTAATGGGGCCTTGAACAAAGACATGAAGTAAACTTTCAGTATGATATCAGCATTGACATTTAGACACAATAAAAAGGCCTTTCTTAATAAGCAAGGAATCCACAGGAAGATAACTATGCAATATCCTCCAAACCAAAAAAGTGTAAGTAGGGGGGATACTAGCATGCCAGAAAGCAACATTAATGAAATTAGTCAGCATAGGATGCTTAATTAACTTCCAAACATGTTTAGTGCTAAAATTCCCATCATTGGAACAAGTGGACAAGATGCAATCATCCATATCCGAATGGATAGTAATATTTACAATTAATTTGATAATGAAATCAGACAACAAAGTGTAAAGTAAATTCAGGTTCCAACTGTCATTGATAAAAAATTCCTTAACTTTGCATTGAGAGATGGAACGAGTATATAAAAGGTTATCAATAGAGAAATTACCCAACCATTTATCTTGCCAAAAATAAATATTACCACAACCTAAACCCCATTGGACGAACTTCTCAGCTTCCCATTTAATGTTGCATAATCTTTTTCAGTTAGGAGAATCACCCAATTTGAAAGAGCAATTTAAAGGATGCTTCATCCCACAATATTTAGAAACCATAAATTTAGCCCAGAGACTCTTCTTGGTTCTAAAATTAAACCAAAGTTTATGATTGAAGGTATGAGCCATATCTTGTATAGTTTTGAACCCCAGTTTTCCCTCTTCCATAGTACCAGAATAATTCTTTCAAGACCCCCACAAAATAACATTAGAGTCGGTCTTGGATCCCCAAAGAAATTTGTTGAAAAAAACCTCCAACCTTTTAGAGACATTAATATTCGGAGCCACAGTATGAAGCAAAAAAATAGGAATAGAGCAAAGAATGTTTTTAATAAGAACAAGTCTACCACCATAGGGTAAATAACTGAAAGCCCACGAAGTAAATTTCTTTTGAATGTTAGTGAAAATGTCATAAAAAAAAGGAAGGTTTTCTACCTTTAAATAAAGGAGTGCCCAAGTATTTCATAGGAAGGGACTTTATCATTAAACCGGTTTTTCTCTCAATACTATGAATGCGAGAAGTAGAAATCGATTTAGCAGTAAAAAAGGATCTTTTGGTTTTATTGAAAGTTAAACCACTAATGTTTTGAAAATTCTCAAGAAACCTAGAAAGCTTTTGAACATTCCGATTAGAACCATTAGAGAAAATAACGAAGTTATCTGCAAAATTCATATGAGTTAAAGGAAGAACACCCCCTATCCAAAAAAACAAATTAGGATTCATTCTCAAAAATTGGTTCAGGCCACGAGATAAAAATTCCATAGCAATAATGAAAAGAGCAGAAGATAGGGGATCACCTTGTCTAAGGCCATGAGGTTTACCATTAAAAATAACAGAGAAATAACAGAATTCTATGTTATTTTTAATTAATCTAATAAATTGAGAGTTAAAGCCAAAAAACGTAAAACAACATAAAGAAAATCCCAGTTAAGATTATCATAGGCTTTGGTTATGTCCATTTTGAAAACAATGTTCCCACCAACAACCTTTTTCTCCAAATCGTGAATTAATTCCTGCGCAAGTAAGACATTATCAAAT